TTTGCAAGTATTTGTCAATTCAAAGTGGTACACATCTATAATCTTCACTACACAGGAGGCTACAGCAGAAAAACAGCACATTCAAGGCTAGGTTGGGCAATTGAGCRAGACCCTGTCTCTGAATGTCTCAAAATCAWATCAAAGAAAGGACTGGTAATGTGGCTCAGTGGTAGAGGTCCACAGGATTAATCCTTAGTACTCCCACCTCCACAGCACAGTGTTTCTCAGTGGCATCTAACTTAAAATAAATAGATTATTCTGGAATAAAAGACAGAAATAGAACATGTTTAATTTAAAAAGTATAGCAAAAATGATTATATTTCAGAATCATCCTGAATTGTACTGATTAGGAAACAACATAAAAATATATTGATGATACTTCTTATCTTAATTCTTTTTAAAAATAAATTAAGAGCATTTTTTCAAAATACTTKTGTCTTTGTATATAGTTGGGATGTATGCGGATTTTTCATTTGAGTTTCTAATAAAATGAATATCTACCTACTAGAGTTTAATTTTTTAAAAAATAATATTTAAATATATAATTTGAGGGACAAGTATAAATATTCATTTTTTGATACTTTTATAATATGGAAAGATGYCATTATAAATGTTATACCAATGTAAATGGTATAATTTGCCATTTAGATATTTAAAAGCAGGCAAATACTTTAACAGAGACTAAGCCCACAATATCTATARAGACAGAGCTGTTATTAATATAATCATAATTTAGCTCCTTTACTTATTTTTTGTCCTTTGTCCATGATACCTAATAACACCCAGATGAGAATTTCTAGTTTTTGTTATATAGCTGACAGTGGGGCTATTTAGTATATTTTCTTCAAAGCTGGAGATGTGGATTTAAATCTTGAGCGTGTTACTTCTACTTTGCAAAAAGAAACTTTCTGAAAAAGTTCCTTGGCATTTTCCAGCCCTCTTGTCCTGCACTGCTGCCCCTGAATATAGCAGGCAGAGCACTCAGGGCCACTGTAGTTGACAGGAGTGCTAAGGGTAGAGAGCCCTCTCATAACAAAATACCAGAAAAAATCTTTGATTTTATTTAGGAATCCCTGTTTAATTTAGGAATCCTTATACATTTGTACTAAAAGATTAACTCTAAGTTGACTGCTAATTTAGGAATCCTTATACATTTGTACTAAAAGATTAACTCTAAGCCACATCAAGTTTCCCATAAGCAAAAAAGGGCTTTGTTTCAAACATTTTTTCTCATCATAGACATCTCCATCCCAGGAACTCTAATGAAAACACCTCTTGGTTGGACTTGCTAAAGATGTTAAAAATAACATTATACCATTGAAATTATTTTCTCCCAAATTTCCTGGTCATTCCTACATTGTCTTCTGATTACCCAGGTGGCTGGTGAGAAATCTGGKATCATTTTGATTTCTTTGGCTTGTGATTTTGTTTCTTTTTGCAACTTTTCCAATCTCTTTGTATCTTGTAAATACATCTCTTGAAGCCCTGGGAAGGGAAGGGGAGGGAACAAGCTGAGCCCTTTTGATTCAAGATCTAACAGCACTGCATGGTGGGTGTATCTTCAGTAAACATGAAGCAGATACAAAGAAGTTAGGAGCCAGAGCAGCTGCCAATAGCAAGGGAGTCGATTTCTCTGCTCTGAAAAAACATTCTGCTGAGCATGTTTCTCATGCCTCTGCTGTGCTATCCCGTTGTTTTTTTAAAAATATGGATATATAARTGTTTAGAAATTTTAAATTTAGTTTCAAAAGCTTGTAGTCCCAAAAGAAAGCAAATATAGAAAACATGGCTGTTGTCTGTGCACGTAGATCACTGCCATAGGTGCAGCCCTGCGTTCCTTTTGGTTTGAGATAGACCACCATTTGTGAACCAACATGAGTGCCCGGAAAGGAGAAAGACAAAGTATTGGAAAACTGGGAGGCTTGATAAATGACTCCTTTTACTGTGATGTCCACATTTTGAATTCGGATTCTGAAGGCTGTGAGTTCAGAGGAAGAATTCAAACTCTTCATCACAGTTCATTTCATCCAGGTCGTATGAAATAATTCATACAACTCCACTGAGTACCAGGCCGTTTTCTGTCTTTACTGGTAGGGTGAACCAAATGTCATGATGTTCTTATATTATTTACCCTCTAAGGATGTAATCTCTAAAAGATTGCCCATTAGYTACCTTTGTACATCCTTCAACTGACCTTCTTAAAAAATTGTCTCCACTAGCTTAGTTTTGCAAAGTAAACATTTTTTTATTACAAATTCAATTAGGCCAGAAGTTTCTTATGTAAAAACACCACAGGTGGATAGAAAATATTTTATGACCTTTAACCTCACAACTTGAGTCACAGGGTTTTGCCATACCCCTGATTGGCCATGTAGGCTGCACTCAGGATGCTGCAGGCAGTGTGGAGTCCCATTGGGCAGGGCACTGCCAATGCCTTTCCTCCCAGATACAAGGCATTCTCATGCATTTCCTATGATTGGAATTTTTCCTGCTGGCTCTA